GAGGGGGCAGATTGAGCAGAGAGTGTCTCTTTGGACAATAGTTGCTGACAAGAATGCAAATAAAAATACTTCCTATGGCCAGTCAATCTACTGACAACCTCCTTTTCCCCCTCACCTTCCACCAATCATTCCAACACAACCTGCGTCCCAGATCCTTGGGGAATGGCTGGTCATTATCGTGAGTTTTTGTCCCCCATGGGACTATGTGATTCCTAAGATGGCAGATGAGCTTTCTGGGATCACTGCCACAAGTCTGGTAATGGACACAGCTAGAATAAATGAACAGCTTCTGCTTTCACTGCTTGGCTAGCAGATGCACTGCCATGAGGTAAATGAGGACAGAGACTGCCTTAATTATTCTACCTTTTCTGTCAGCCCATGTGCCAGTTACACCGAGAGCCTAGTTCAGCAAAGCACTTTATAACTATGAATTTTAAGCCAATCCTTAAATACTTCAAATAGGCAGTAACATGATTTTTTTTTTCTTAATTGAAGTTCAACACAGCGGCTTTCTTCCCCAAACAATCCCAGCCCTCAAAAAGATTAACCAATGATCAACCCAAATTTCTGCCTCTCCAATTAAGATGTTTGCAACCTGCTACCAATTTTGGTCAAGTATTTATTGCCTCTTACGAAAAATTGAGCACATTTCCTAAACAGTAACTCCTCCTTACACTCTTCACATTGCAACAAAAGTTCCAAATAAACATCCTAACTGAAAAAAATCTTCAATGTCAAAACTGTGAACAGTGTGAAACAGATTGCACCATGCATTGGAAGCAAACTGTAGCTCTGTGTTTAAGAAAACAAACATGGTGAGAACCAGTGGGTATTAGTATATGGTGTTGGTCAAACACTTCTTTTTACATATTGTGTCAAAGGGTATGAGAGTATGCCAAACCAAATGAACACATAGTGATGATGTAATTGTGATTACAAATATAGAAGGAAACATCCAAATGACAAATACATATGATGACAATAATGTATATAGGAAAGCATTCAGGTTGCCAAAATATCTTCAGAAATGTGTAGTGTATGCGTGTATGTATATACATATGTGATTTGTTCAGAGAATAATTATTGGAATTCAAATGTGCTAGCAGGTAATTTTCTTCACGGTCTTTGATATCAGTGTGTGCTGCTTTTGGCTGGGATAGAGGCTGGCATGGGGCTGTGTTTTGGATTTGTGCTGGAAACAGCATTGATAACCCAGGGATGGTTTTGTTGCTGCTGAGCAGGGCTGACACAGAGCCAAGGCCTTTGCTTCTCCTCACCCCACCCCACCAGCGAGCAGCTGGGGGGGCACAAGGAGCTGGGAGGGGGCACAGCTGGGACAGCTGACCCCAACTGACATCCCACACCTTATGACATCATGCTCAGCATATAAACTGGGGGAAGGAGGAGGAAGGGGGAACATTCGGAGCAATGGCATTTGTCTTCCCAAGTAACTGTTATGCATGATGGAGCCCTGCTTTCCAGGGGATGGCTGAACACCTGCCCGCTAATGGGACGTAGCAAATTAATTCCTTGTTTTGCTTTGCTTGTGCACGCAGCTTTTACTTTCCCTGTTAAGCTGTCTTTATCTCAACCCACAGGTTTTCTCATTTTTACTCTTCTGATTCTCTCTCCCATCCCACTGGGGGTGGAATGAGCAAGCAGCTGCATGGGGCTGAGCTGCCAGCTGGGGTTAAAGCACGACACAGTGCTCTCTATATTCCCTGTTCAACATG